TGGCTAGTTCAAATGCTTTCTTTGGCTTTTTTACATTCTGGCTTTTTCTCTTTTTGCAGAAACTTGCCAAATGTCCTCTTCCTCCACAATTAAAACATTTTTTTAATTGTGTATGCTGTTGAAGATAAATTCTTTTCTTCTATGTGCTGTACTTTGCTAAGCTGGTTTCTTTCAAGCTTTGAAGATAATTTCTCTTCTTTCTTATCTTCTCTCAGCTCGTCACGCTCACGCCTTCTTCTGGCTTCTTCTAGTAGCCTGCCTGTAATCTCGGTTAATGAGAGGCTTTCTTTTGGCAATACTTCTAACGAAGTCACATAGTCATCATAGCTTTGATCTAATGAAGATAATATGATGTAGACTTGTTGCAGTTCATTAAATATAAGCTCTTTTTCATGCAATTCTTGAAAAATGCTCTTCATACAGTTTAAATGAACTAACATATCTCCATTCCTCTGAAGATGCGTTAGAAAAAGCTTCCGTGTAAGATTTATATGTGCTCCTACACTGTCCCGAACATAAATCTTCCTGAGGTTCTCCCAGCAGTTTGCAGCATTTTCTTCTCCACGAATATGGACAAGCTGCTGATCACAGAGAATCAGTCCTATTATGCATAAAGCCTGCTCATTCTTCAGTTTAAAGTCTTGTAACTTTTCGTTATCAGCAGCAGCAGCAGGATCCCAGCTACTCACATCTGGTGGGTTTGCTATAATGTCCCACAAACCTTCTCTGCGTAGAAGTAAACTACATTTCATTGACCATGAAACATAGTTTGTTCCATCCAGCCTGGATATCATGGACAGTTGTGACAAATTTACTTGTGCCATTACTCTTCAGATATTTTGACTATTTTAAACTAATTAAAACAGTTTGTTTTTACAGTAATGTGCAACTCACACCAACTCTCTCTGCTATATCCTGGTTAGTTAGACTATGCTGCTGGGCCCATAACCAATGTTAGTGTTTGGGGATAAACCCCTAGCAGAGTATTGCAGCAGTAGTCAAGCCAGGCAGCCAAAGGAGAGCGGAAGGGCCCCAGAGTATACACACACTGAATACAAACACTGTTTGTAGTTTAAATAGTTTTTAATCCATTTAGAGTTTAAAGCATTGTCATTCAGTCCATTTTTCATTCACTATATTTCCATCCAGTAAGACTCACTATTACAGTCCAAGTTAAGAGTCCTTACAATATCTTTATCAGCCGATAAAGATATCTTCTCCTCCTCCGGTGCCTCTCTCCAGAGGAACAAACGCTAGATATTCAGCAAGACGCTCAAACAGTAGAACAGTTGAATTCCGCAGTAAATCAGCAAACAGTAGCAGACAGGATCATCTCGGTCACAGGCACAGTACAAACAGTATTCACAGTTAGTCACAGTAAGCTTTCCAGCTTCTAATGCTTCCTTATATTGTAACTTCTAACCGCACCCTTAATTGGTTAATTGCCTGCAGCATTGTGCTTAAAGTGATAAGCACTTAAACCATGATATCTAAGTTTTATATATTTATTCACCCAAACCATATTTGGTATCAATGTTATACCTAACACCCTCCCCTCATTCCCCGTCCCCCCAAAGGAAGAGAGAGCAGGAGGTGTGGATATTACCTTCCCTCCAGCCCTCCCCCCACCGTTCCTCCCCCTGGAGATCCCGGTGTTCCCTGTGGAGACTTACCAGGATTCTTCACTCTGCCCCCTCAGCGCCCCCACAGTACATCCTCCTCTCCGGGGCTGACAGAGTCCCCCCTCCCTCCTCCAGGGGCATCTCCCATCAGTCTCCCAGAGGAAGATCCTCCCCACCGTCCCCTTTTCCTGCGTGGGATCCTCCTCCTCCTCCTCTACTAGAGGCTGGGAGCAATGGGCCCTGGAGTCCCTCCTGACGCCCTTCTCCTCCTCATCGCAGCCCATTTCCTGGTCCAGTGGAAGTCCGAGTGCCTCTTCCTCAACGGGACGCAGCGGGTGCAGTACCTGTTCAAGGAGATGTACGACCGGCAGGAGTTCGTCCGCTTCGACAGTGACTTTGGGAAGTTCGTGGCCGTCACGGCGTTTGGGAAGGCGGATGCGGACATATGGAACAGCAATGAGCAGATCATGCAGTACCAGAAGGCCGCTGTGGATTTCTTCTGCCGACACAACTACGAGGTGAACAGCTACAAGGCGCCCAAGAGGGAGGAGCGAGCGATTGGCCGGAGAAGTGAGTCCTGGGGGGGAGGGTCTCTTTTTCCCTGGGAGGGGGAGGCCCTATCCTTTCCTGGCATCCACTGGGGATTCTCCTCCCGGGTGATGGTTCCGCCTCCTTCTTCTTCCTTCTGCCCGCTCAGAGCTCCGGAATCTCCCTCTTCTCCCCAGGATCTGAACTCTCCTCCTGTCCGGGATCTGGGATCCCTTTGATCCCCCCAGGAAATCCACCCAAATCTATGATTTTCTTCTTTGGGGGGGAGGGGAATCCACCCAGGTCTCCCTCCCTCCCTCCTGCTCAATACAGGGAGTCCTCCACTTAACAATAATTCACTTAGTGACCGTTTAGAGTCACAAGGGCAGTGAAAATAATGACTTCCGACCCTGTTTCACTCAGTCATATATTCAACATGTTTACAGTTCAATCTATTCATATCATTTCATTTATCATTCAAAATTTCACCTTAATTTATAGCTATCCCAAGATACATTTTCCATCTTATTCTCTTTTAGCCAATATTGTCAGATTTACAGCACTGTATCCTCATTACTTTATACAAATATAACAGATATAACAGAATATTTAATTCATTAAAAATGTCTCTATCTTCCTTGATCATATTTTCAACATGTTTACACTTCTCATTTTTAAACAAATACATTTTCCATCTTATTATCTTCTAGCCAATATTGTCAAACTAATAGCAATACATCTTCATTACCTTATACAAGTAGATAATAAAATATTTCATGAAAGATACTAATAATTCTTGTGTTCAGCATGTTGACAGTTTCATACCATTCATTAAGAATTCAAAATTTCATCTTAATTTATATTATCTCTGTTAGTGTTTGGGGATAAACCCCTAGCAGAGTATGCAGCAGCAGTCAATCCAGGCAGCCAAATGAGAGAGGAAGGGTTTTAGAGTATACACACACTGAACACAAACACTGTTTGTAGTTTAAATAGTTTTTAATCCAGTTAGAGTTTAAGCATTGTCAATCAGTCCGTATGTCATTCACAATATATCCATTCAGTAAGACTTACTAACTCAGTCCAGGTAATAGTCCTTACTATATCTTTATCAGCCGATAAAGATATCTTCTCCTCCTCCGATGCCTTTCTCCAGAGGATAACGCTGGATATTCAGTAGGACGATCAAACAGTAGACAGT